TGTGAGGATGACAGCACAGGAACAGTCTGCCCAGAGGGGTTGTGGAGGTCTCCTTCTCTAGAGATACTCAAAACCTGCTTGAGCAACATGCTCCAGACAGGCCTGTTTGGACAAGGGGTTGGACAGGATCATCTCCAGGTCCCTTCCAACATTATTCATCCTGTGACTGAAGTTCACTTTTTTTCATATCAGAGATGCATTTAGCAACATGCTCTTATGAAAACTACCAATAGGCCAATATTCTAGGCTTTACTGTCCTCTCACTACACTATTTTGAAAATTATGTTTTGTTTTCCTCGAAATTAAGTACTATTCCAAAAAGAAATAAAACCATATCTTTAACATCAAATCTGCAAATAGATTTAGCTTTAAAAAAAAAAAACCAAAAACACAGACATACCAACAAGGTGCTGAGGAACAAGATCCACAACAGTGTTTGCTGCTTATATCAATAGGGATAATCTATACCTCTTCACAAGTCACACTGTAGTATGACATATTTTACCTCTTTCCTAACTTTCTCCACTTCAAAATATACCTTCCCTTAATTGTAAAAGTGGCGATGCTTTAGGAAGAGGTTTGAACATCTCTACAGCTAGAATTAAATGCAAAACAAAAGATACAAAGCACACAGAAAAAAAACGTTATTTGCCAAAACACTAAATATTGAAAACTAAACCCTCTGAAGTAGCTCTGTCATACTTTATGATAGTTATAAACTTAAAACTAAATCTTCAAGAACATCTGCCAACTTAATAAGTATCAGGTTCTGGGAACTCTGCATGTGTTAAGCTGTTGAAGTACCCACACACGTAACAGCAGATGATAGGAATCACTGTTCAGCACTTCTGGGAAAGAGGAACTCTCCTGACTCCAATTTGTTCACTTACAGATTACAAGTGGAGAGTATTTATAAGAATAAGAAAATTACACACATAGATGTATTACTATATATCTTAAAGGAAAACATTTTAAATAGGAAAATACAGTGAAAATGAACAAAGTCCTTTTCAGTTCTCAAACACATTGTTTAAAAACAAGTGCTTTAAAACCAGTATAACCCAATTTGTCAGACTAAACTTATATAACTTTGAAGAACTAAGGCCTCTCTTTAAAAACATTATTTTAACCAAGGCAAACAAAACAAAAAAAGAAACCAACCAAAACATCAAATGACATCTTTAATCTATTACGACTGTCACTAGCTACAAGTTTAGAGTGTATCCTTCAGGAAACTAAATTTTTATAGCATAGATGTAATCCATTTTAAGACAGGCAAACTGAAGGCCACTTGAGGACAGCATCTAGATTTTTCTTTCAGTTCATCAATTCCAAAGAAACAAACAGTGTAGCTTAGGAAACCTCGCATAGCAGAGTCCGGAAAGCTATGCCCACCAGAGGTCAGCAAACAAATTCAAGGCATATATCCCTGACCCCTAAGCCCCAAATCCCAAAGAGTTTCTTGATTGTACAGTATGTTTTCTATATGGTTGAAGAAACATCTGTGGCCCATGCCTGAAACGACAGAGCCTGTGTGGTGTCTGCTTTGCAAAGCTTTAGGGCAGCAGTTGTGCTGAACTTTTGTTGGCTACCAGGTATAGTAAACAGTTGTTAAATGTTCTGTAGTACCTGAATGCGCAGTGATCCCCAACATGAGAACAGGCTACCTATCATTTGTGGGGTAGTCTTATTTACTTAATTTACTTTACTTGAAGTTATTAAGGGGAAACTGCAGATCTATAAATACTCACTAATTCCCATCCAAAAAACTGAAACAAATCAAAATCTCGCTCTCAACCCATAGCATCTGTTCACTCTGACAAAACAGTTAAAAATGTATTCTCCACTATCTTTATTTCAGAAGTCCATTGGAAAGACTGAATAGTGTATTTAAAGAATAAAGTCAAACTCTGGAAATAGCTTAAGGAGCCAGAATGAAGAGCAAGAATATAAACTATTATTATATTGTCTTTCGGATATAATCAGCAACTCAGGGCCTTTTAAAGGATTGAAAACTATTAAAAAGACCAAGTAGCTTTGGAAACATTTACTTTCAACTTATTCTTAAGGAGCTCTTGTAATGTAAAGTAGATTTTTGGTTTTTTTTCCCCCCCTCTCCTAGTAAATTGCAATACCAGTCCACAGTAGGACTTCTACAAGCAAGAGTATTCTCTGTCAGATCCAAATATAGTTTCTTAAAATTAAAGTGCTACAGTCTTGCATACAATCACTCTACCACAAAAACCTGTAGAAAGTTCACAATTAGGTATCAACACAAGGGAAGAGACCCATCACCTGGTTATTTACGCCACTTGGTTGAAAGATATTTGCCTGGACACACAGATGTCATTGGCACTTTGCCTAGAATTCCATACCCAGATATGTATCCTAGCATGAAGTGCTCTGTCACTTCCCTACATGGTCATCTTTTTGCGAACACCATGTCAAAGGCCATCACAATACTCTTATGCTCCAGACAGAGGCATGCACAGAGTCCCTCTCACCTCCAGGTTTTGACACTAACACTGGTACACACTGTATTGCTCTGCTCTACTTACTCAGGAGCTGTTCTGAGTTTGAAACAATTTCATCATCATCTATCTTCCAGTTAGAATATATCACGTCAATATCAGCGTTTCTTTTACACAGAAGCACTTGCTGTACTAAATATCCAACATCACCCATCCTTAAACATAACATTTATGTAGTCACCTTCACTTGAAGCTCTATTTGTTGGAAACACATTGTCAGTTAGAAAAAGGATCGCTACAGAGTGCTTAAGACTGGACTGTTTGACCCAGCAGAAGCTCATGCCATTTAAAACACTCGGTCAACCAACAGGCTAGACCACCTACATTAAGAAGGGACAATACAAGTCTAATTATTTTTATTCCTCTACTTGAGCGTGCTAGCTTTAAGATTTACCTTTTTAATTAATTCAAGAAGGTTGGACTATCAGACACTCTTCTATGAGCAGATTTAAAAATAATGCAATAGTACCCTTAAAATTTGGGTGCCACGTTGGTTAAAAACAAGCTAGTGCTGTAGATGGTCTTGTCAGTGGTTTGCTTTCAATTCATTTTTTTGCCTTCAGACTGAGGCTTTCTAAAGAGATGTCTGAAGTCAAGCAGTTGATTTTTATGAATACTGACAATACACTTCAAGATAAGTGAAAGCCTGTACATCCCCTAGGTGTTCAATGTACAACTAAGAGCTGTTCTATTCTATAAGATGAAAAAGCTATGTATTTTTTCTGAAACAGAAGATCAACCAGAACTTTTTTTTGTGCTCTAGCCACCTTACAGAGCTAAATCCAGTTTTTCTTCCCCTTAGTGAGAAATTCCAAACCAGTATGAAACACCGTTATTGCTCTTCTATTAAAACTGCTTTAAAGTAAAAAATAAATATGTGTGTGTATATATATATATATATATATATATATATATTCCTTAAAAGAGAAACTGCTTCCAGTGCCATTCTCTGTGGCATTTAAAAGCAGGTCAGTGAACTGGACTAGAAGCCTCTGGCAAAAATCTGAAATTCATGTAGTTCTGTTTGCCTCAAGATGACACAGAAAGCTTCAACTGCTGAAACAAAATGAAATTGCAAAAGTCATGAATGTAAAATTCATTTTACAGTTCCAGGTGTACAAAGAGAGAAGCAAAACAGTGGAGTAAGTGACAAGGTATCATAATTCACCCTTCATTTCAACTGTCAGCACTTTTTATTTGTACTCGTTCTTCACCAAAAGATACGAAGAGGAAACAAGCTTCAGCCTTCATGAGATTCACACTCACTCATCCTTGCCAGGGTTGCTGCAATTGAATCACCTTATGTACAAAACTCAGGCTCAGGACAGGGTTAGGGAACATTAGTTTCTCAGGGAACGAAAGCTGGGCAGACAGCCAAAACCAACTTCATTTTGAGTGCATACTCTCTTGCCTGCTAATTAAAATAGCAGGATAGTCAAGTTTAAGGCTATATATTTATCTCCTCCTGAGACAGCTACCACCTCTAAAAGCAAAGTGACATTAGTGAAAAGAAAGTCTGATGTACAACCAAACTTGCTCCCAAAGGAACAATCACTCAATTAACAGTTGATAATGACCTACAAAATACGAGTATGCAATTACTCCTGACATTTAACAAGAATCATCTACTTTAATTTTTTTATTAGTTTGTTCCTTCCAATGGAAGTCACTGACTAGGCTAGTTTGGAGAAAAGCTATTGCCATGGCAATACCACTAGTATGCATTTGCGAAGTAACCAATAACTTTATCTTTGCACTCCTCCATAGAAAGACACCTCCTTTAGGGAAGGCTTAAGTTTTTAAAAATCAGGATGCAAGAGTCCAATTTAAGATTTTTTTTTTTAGTTTTATTAAGGAAAACAATTTAAAATGCTTATACTTGAAAAATAGGAAGTTCTTCTTTGTACAGCCATTTCTCTTTGTGGTTTCCCACAGAGCAACCGGCATGCACTGAGGAGTTACGAAAGATGATGAGAATATAATGACATCAGATGTCAGCCATATATTGGCTCAGAGGAGAGTGGAAGAAGTTTGAAAAGAAGCTGAAAAGCACAGCTGCTTTCTTGTTTTTGTCTTTTTTAAATAAAGCGTAGAATGCAACTACCCAAGAAAACTTTGCAATCTAGAAACTAAAGTGAACACATTTAAAAACAAGGGAAAATATTTTTAATGGGTAAGTTGCACAATAAAACATATTGAAGCCTAAATTTAGAAAATAGAAACAAATGTTAATACCTACTGTTAAGATGATTTGCTTTTAGAGCTACCAATTAAAGTAACAATTTAAAAAACAATCCCTCAGTACAAATGCACATTTAAGGTAATTACAGGTGAACAGAAGCAAGATTGCTCCCTAGTAAAGCATACACTAAAGCATACAAAATTTTTTGAAAAGCCTCTCTAGGTCCTTGGATCATTAGCAATTTTAAAATACGTCTAGCACGTATGTACTATATAGGTAATCCTTACCTGCCACTTCTACAATGTCACCTGGGACAATGTCTCTGGCTTTGATTCTCTGTACACTTTTTCGATCTTGTCGATATACTTTGCCCATTTCAGGTTCATATTCTTTAAGAGCTTCAATCGCATTTTCAGCATTTCTTTCCTGAAAGATAGTGAAAGCGCTTAATTTTTTAAAGCCCTCATGACATGGAAAAATAAGTACATTGGATCTGATTTTCCAAGCTTAGCACCATACAAATACTGCTGGCTGCCGAGCTAAATTTATTCACCCAGAGAATGATGTGACCCACCCCATTACGAGGATGGAAATCATTACAACATAATTCAGATGTTAATGGGTATTCAGTATCGAGAAGCTGTTTATTTCATTTCCCATCAAGAACATTCTCTGTGTCTTGTTATGGGGAAAGACACACACACACACAGACACACGAAGTTCCAAGAATCACATGGATTTTTTTTAATACACATATACCCCTTCCAAAACACCCAATTACAACTAATGGATATCCCCTTGTCTTAACCACAAATTACTACCTGGAGTATCTTAAGACTCAGGCTGGAATGGGCTAGCAAATCGAAAACTAAGTTAAGACAAATCTCAAAGTTAAGTTATTTAAAGATAAGTTGTATTTTACCACAGGACTAGCCATAGCAGCTATAATATGCTTTTCGAGGATTTTGAATCATCAACTCAATTTCACTTAAGTGAAATTAGATCATATAGATTACCAAGATCTTTCTACCCTTTCTTCCCCAGAATCTTTAATGTTTACAAATGGAGATAAGTCCCCCCCAAGACCTTTTTATTTCCATGAGCATTAACGTAATAACCTTCTCAAGTGTAATTCTCTCAGTTAAGTGCTGTTGGATTTGCAGTCAACATCTTGATGCCACCTAGATAGAGGCCAGCAAAAGAAACGGGCAATTTATCATGATTCCCTCTCCAGCTTGCGGAAAAGGAACTTCTTTCTCACTGCCTAACCAACTGACAGGTACAAATATCATTACAGTTCTGATGCTTAGAGATAGAATTAACGGTACACACAGACACCTAATTTCAGAAATTTAGATGCCAAGAGATTAGGTTTTTCCCTATAACACTGCAGCTCATACAACATTACGAAAGCTCTACCATTACTCTAAGGACTTATGTTTACATGGCACAATTCAGTGCCAGGCAGTACAGAGATACCAGCTCGGGTCCTAAAAGTACTAGCTTCATACTCCACTAGGTAAATTAATTTTGCTCCTCAGCACAAGAATACTGATAGCACTCTTACCTAGATTAACTAAAAGTTAACATGAGGCAAAAACCTTAACAACATAGAAGAAGGTCTCTCTAAATGAGAAGAGAGTTGAAATGGGTTTTTCCTTTAAAAAGAAATAAAAAAAGAATTAAACATGATTCAGCTAGGACAGCCCACTCAGTGTGTTGGGCCATACCACCTTGTTTCCTGTTTGCTGGAAATCAAGGTAGTTACAATACACTATCTTGCCAGCCACTGGAATATTAAAGAAATGGTGTTTTGGGAGAAGGGCACATGAAAGGCAAGGCCAGAGTTAAGGCCATGACTCACAGTTGCTCACATCTAGTACCTGTAGGAACAGATACATTTATGGGTGGAGACTATGTACTGCGACTAATTTTCCATGCCCATTAAAGCAAGCGAATGACTCAATCTGTACAACTGTTTCACAATTAAGTTCACTGCATGCATACAAATACATATTTTTTTCTTTGCATACTTTATCAAGTCTGCAAAATTAGCTGTTTCCTCCAGGAGGGTACACAACTACAAAAGAAACAAAATCCCTAACTGTACAGATACCTGACACTGCACTGTACAGTCTTTTCTATTAAACCAGAAAAAAAAAAAGCATTTGAGATTTGACATTGTAAAGATATCTGCCTACCTGCCACACTCCCACGATTGCATTGGCTACCAATATAAGTAAGATTACAAATGGCTCTACAAATGCTGTGATTGTTTCTTCACCTTCTTCAAACCAGGCCAGGACCTGTGAAAGAAAACATGTGGATTTAAATTACTAAAGGAATTTACAGAGACTGCTTGCATATTTAAGACCCAATAAATTTCAGCTGTAGCTTCAAATCCTTAGACTTGAATGATTTTGAAAAGCCTTCAGTCTTCCAAGGTGTAGTCCATGAATGAGTTGGCAATACGCAATGGAAAAAGAAGGAAAAAAATCTTTACTGAAGTAGTGCAGAGTTCATTCAGAAGCCTGGTTTTCTTTTAAAGGAACAAGCTCTTTATTTTGAGAGGACATTGCATCAACTTCTGCTTTCCTTCATGAACCAGAAAGTAGCAACAATGGCTACAACACTGAAAAGTTGCAAAACTTTGTTCCTTATGTCTAGAAGGATACTCGGGTTGATTAGTACAAGTACTTAAAACAGCACAGCTTTGCAAGATTGAGTTTCAGGCATACTCAAAATCTAACTTAACTAGATGACTTGTTCTTTATCAAAATAACTTCTGTATTGACTAGCTGTGCACACAGACGAAAACAGCTTTAGATTTCTTCTGTGAGTAAATCCAGAAAATGTGCATTTGCTGATTTAAATACAAGCTTCTAAGTGAATTGGGTATACGCATCAGAAATTGACTTCTGAGCTGAATAGCTGATAAAACTCAAGGAAAGAAACAAACAAGAAAAATGCCTGAGTAAATCAACTTTAGAACTCACATAAAAGGCTTCAAATAGGTTTTTTTTTTTTTTTTTTTTTTTTTTTAATTCATTTGCTTCAGAATTGCACTCTAAGTTTTAGGCTCCTGCCACTGACTTCTGCAGATTATAGAGACTTTTACATTTACCCTTCTAAAAAGTTCTATAGTTACTGAAGTCAAGCTAACATGGCCAGAGAGGAAGAGCTTTTTTGTCAGCATGTTGAGCAACAGGAAGCCTGGAAAGCGACAGTAAATAGGAACAACGTGTTGAGATAATTAGGGCCAGTAGTCAGGCAACAGCACTCTGAATCACTAGAAGACGGCAGCAAGCAAACCGTTACTAAAGCAAGCCCCGTAATTCCGCTAACGTGCTGCACAGAGCTATTGCTCAATTGTGAGACACTCCGGGATGTTAAAAGGAAGAAGGCGCAGCAGCATGAAAGCCTCAAGCAGGAAGCTGAAATTGTCAAGTAAACCCAGTGCAACAACAAATTTTATTACAAAAGAATAAACTTGTAAGATCCAGGTTATGATTAATTTAACTGAAATGTTCCAACTGAAAATGCAACATTGAGGGTCTGTGTAATCCCTCTGGAAAAGAGATTTACTTAGGAACTCAGGCTTGCTACATCCCAATGTTTCTTTCTTCCCCTACAGTACTAATCCACCACATCCACAGTAACAGCTTGTGCCATTTGACCTGCTGGAACAATTCAGCAATTGTACCGTCTACATTGTACTTTTCACTTTACACATTACTCCTTATACCATAAATAGCTTTTACTCCACACCTGCATTTTTACCTGTTGGAGCTACAGAAATGGCTACAGTTCCTTTAGCACATCAAAAAAAGCTGCTTTGCATCTATCTACTTCTTCCCTCCCTTTTCTTACTGGAAGTCTATACAGCCAATCCTGCTAACAAAAGAGCAAGCAAATTCAGTAATTGTAGCATTCTTAATAGAGCGGGAATTGCCAGGTTACACGAAATAGAACATCTGCTTTACAAAATATATTAGTCTGTAAGATTGAAAACCACCTAGGCTGTAAAATAACACTGAGAAGGCCTGAAACAGTAACAGTTAGGAAAAGTAGCTACACATACAAGATCTGGCTATGTCAAGGAGAACCAAAATTAGTTACACGAGAAATCCTGTCAGTAAAAGTCTGGTAGGCTGTTTCAAATCTTTACTACTGTCTTGGCAAAGTTATCAACCTGTAACAGGAGTAAAATTAAAAACAAAAACAAACACCCAGATCCTACACTCTAGTTCTAGTAGTTCTGGAACAGTTTAATAGGTACAGCCATATGAATAACAAAATACATATAAGTGCATTGCGATGTGTATGTAGTAACAAACTTGATCTTTTACTGCAGTATGTGTATTTGACAGTAGCCTCTAAATAACAATCAAAGCACAAACAAAAAGAAAGTAGAAGAAGGAACACATAGTGAGCCATTTAAGCCTAAAAGAATGAGTTAGGTGTTTTTAGCAACAACAGAACATCATACACTGAAGCATGGGTAGAGACAAGAGAACTCCTGAAAAGCGTAAAGTCTGTACCAGAGATTTTCATTAGCATATTTCAAAATCCTAGAGACGATGATGTGGGATCTTTTATTTGCCTGTTCCTCAGAGGAGCCTCACTATGCATTAGTCGTAACCATGTTAAGATTGGCATGTGTAACAGTTTAATTACCAGATCATTGATCTCGAGTGTACTGTTCAGAAAATATGGTCAGTAGAAGTTATCAAAACAGAATAAAAAGAAACACAAGCCAGAATTCTAAGGAAAATAGCTACCTTCAAGACATACTCTTACTTTATCAGCAGTTGGAGTAAGTAAGCTTAGAGGATGACTTCCATTCTGTGTATTGATTTACGGTTGCTTTTATTTTGCTAGAGTTATGGCTTGCAGAAGCCCGTTTTAATCAAAGTGTAATGGGATGGGCCTGCAGAACACTAAGCCAAAGAACACGCAATGACAGGCAAAAAGCACTTAATTTTCATGGCTATGTATAAAAAGGGAGATAGAGGTAAAATGCAGAAGCCAGCCAGCAATAAATTAAATTAATGGTCAATACAGTTAAGAGAACAGAAACATCATTTTAGCTTTTTGCACTTCTACATATTAAGCATCTCTGTTTTCCAAGTCATGAGAAGAAGCAAACATTCGTTGTCAGCAACTTAACAAGCTTTTCTGATTTTTATTTTGATACCAGAAGAGAAAGGAAAGAAAAAAGAGCTTGGCCATTAATGAAAAGGAAATTGAGAGTTTATTGAATTAGCAGATTGGAAGCACCCATCAGATATGCTTCTCCGTATTTCTAAATGCACAAATGCTTATTGTGTTCTTAATGCAGCAAAAAGAGAAAAGACATATGGCATAGATTTTTTTTTTAATAATTTCCACAAAACCATTAAAATGGAGTCACAATTGATCTTCATTTTGTCACCCTTGCCAATCTGATGGCATCTTGAATGCTACTGAACCTTCAGAGTTTAGCTAAAAGCATGCCAACATAAAACACTCTGGGGTGAATTTAGGGCAAAGTCTACAAACTTTTTTTTAATTTTTTTTTACTGTCAAGTCTTATTCTCTTCAACAATAACTTTGCTTGCTTTTTAACACAGATTATGCTATACTCCTGCTAATTTACAAGCTATAATGCACATATTGAGACCACAGCACAGAGTTTTAACCTAAACATGTATACCTAGGATTAGAAAAATATCCCAGAATTTGAATTTTACTCTATCTTGTAGAAAAGTCACTACAAGAAGGATGCAAAGGTTAAGCATCCATCCCAGTTTAGCACATACTTTGATAAATTGTATATGTATTATTCTATATTAGTAACACTAGTAGTATTTTGCCACCATTATAGGGCAAAGATGCATGTTTCATGTAAATGCTGCAGTGCACTACTGAGGAGGCAAAAATTTAAAGCTGGAGTTAATGCAAAATTAAAGACCCTAAGAAGTCATACTATGAAGGCCCAGCAACTACTTCAGACTCTCCAGAGGTGTTTCACATATTCCAACACAACACTAAGGCAAGGTCCAAGCCTACAGATCCACTTATAAAATCAGAAACAATTTACAGAATTTTTCCCCTTTAAAAATATACTTATGGTCAATGAAGATATTGGAAAAAAACCAACCTAGCAGTCTAAGAATTTAAACAATTGCAAGCTAGCAACAGCGGTTCTGACTTGGAATGTAGCACACAGCATCTACAGCTAAAATATGCTGACCACGCATATGACCTCTGCCATCAGGATGACAGATTCAGCCATTAGCCTGATTTACTTTACCAACACGTACCTGACAAGGGGCGTAGGGCTAGAGGAAACAGATTGCTCTTCGAGCACAGAGGCTCTTATGATTGAAAAGGGTAAGGCTTCTAGAGAAATGCAGACAAATGATTGCACAGAAAAAAACATATCCGTCCTTTAACAGATAGGTAATCACAACTATAAGGTTTTAATGCAATTTAATATCCTAACAGAAACAATTACCAGAGAAGCATTCCATGTCACAAAATAGCCACCTACATACCTTGACAGCTCCCACATTTGACCCTCTGAACTCAGCAGTTTTTGATTTTGGAGGCATACAGCTACTGAGGAACTCTGCTACATTCACTATCCTATTAGCAATGAAAAAAACTTGTAAAGATTAGATGTGCAGCACTGTCTTTTCTGAAAGTGTGCACTGTAAGTCCACATCCATCAGCATCACAACACATTTATTCCACAGAATCTTTAGAAAACTCAACTTTTCAAACGCAAATTAGAGAAAGTGGTCACTGATATACTCAAAGAGAAAACCTACGCATGTCTAAAGTCAAGGCTATATTCACACCCGATTTCAAAATCCAATCCTCTTACCTGAACTACTCGTACCCAGTCTTACCTCCATTGGTACCCGATACAATGCCCACCTTCTACACTAGGATAATGGTTTAAAATCTATCCAATAATAAGTTAGAGTAAAAAGCAGCCATCGAAATAAACATCAGCACGATCACTAAATTCCATAGTACGGTTCTGTGATGATCTGATGCTGCCCTCAAAAAGAGCCAAAAAAAGTCTCAACTTCTGGCTTAAAGAGGAGCTCCACATTGTTAGTATTCAATATCCAAAGCCAACACAAGCTTGACTGACTCCATTTTAAGTCTAATTACCCATTCCAAGATACTTAAGGTACAGCGAGTTTTGCATGCTTTGTAACAGTACAAATTGCAAAACTGAATTGTCTAAGGCTTCTAACAGACAGTACAATACACATATTGAAGTTAATCTTTAGAATTAAGTGGTTCTGTCATAAGACTGACTTAGCATAACTTATAATCTTATCTTTATATACAATTCCAGACTTCATGTATTTTTTTCAAGTATTCTCAGGGAGCAATTACTATCCAGAAACCTAACGTCGCTACACACTCTATTCAAGCATTTCCAGAAATACCATAGTTCAAGTTAATTATATCCAATTTTTGCAGCTATATCAACATACTCAGCAGTTCCTTGTGGCTATTACAAAGCCTGTAATATGCTTTCATCAAGAACGAGTGTCAAAACCCTAAGAAAAACAGACAGTCCCCATCTGAATGGGGAAAATGCCATTAAAAAAAAAGGAAGTGCTTTTAAAAGTGCCAAAATTAAGATGTGTCATGTTCTTCTTTTAGATTTGATTCAAAATATAGAAGAAAACAAAGGGCTCACTTCTCCAACCTACTGTTACAGTGGGTAGCTATAACTATTCAATGGATGGCATAAAAAAGGCAAAGCAGTAGCCCAAGGTCACAGAACAGGTCACTGGCAGAAAAGCTAAGAACCCAGATCTACCCTAGCCCATTAGGCTACAGTCCCCTCTTATTTGGATGGATAAGCTAAATACATTGAGAAATGCAATTTAATCCAGTTGCTAATGCTGTGCTCAGCTGTATGCTACATGATATCTCTGTCGGTTTAGTATCACACTGACTATTCAGATGCAGCACCCAAAACTGATAAGTGAAACTTTTTCACTTACTTAGTTACAAAAAAAAATATAAATAGCTATAAAAGACTAACAGAACTCTGTACTGTTACTCATTACATTAAATGAAACTATTCTTAAATTTTCAGGAAGAAAAATAGATTCC